TAGGTTAGTAGGAGGAGTTAGAACACTCGGAGTAAAAATATTATGAAATATTTTATCTGTGTTGTTCACTAATAAACTAAGCAGTGTGTCTCATATTTTGATCGATTAAAATATAGCGAACCTACTTAGCACGGGTAAGTTTATAAGCAACTCCAATGATAGTTTAAATGGTTTGTGATTTATAAGTCTAGCACTTCTTCAATATTTAAATGTCAATTATTTCGATGTTGGTTTTATTGAAAATAAAAAAATATGATACTATATAATTAGATAGAGAAATAAGTTGTTAAATTTCACGTGTACTTTTATTTTTCTCCATCACAATTGATTTATAATATGAGTGTGACAAATGAGTTAGCGGGGCTAAGCGTTTACCATAAATAAAATAATAAGCGAGCAATCGGAGTGCGTTTTTATGCTGGCAGCACTGAATAAAAAAAAATAGGAGAGCCATTGCAGCTCAGGAAATAAGTCTACTAGTGACTATATGTGGACATAGTCAAAGATATTAATATAATATCTTTGCATATAGTTAGATCGATACGTTCGGACGTTCGTTAAATCTTATATCGGTCCTCGCAAAAAATAATATGGCAGACAAGGTTGACAAAAAGATACAGGATTTCAGAAGAGACATTGGAAGATTAACAGAATATATCAAAGGCAACAGAAGCAATAGACTCATCACTTTAGTAGAAGCAATAAAAAATAAATACCGAATACATTCACAGCACGAAGAACCAAATTTGAGCGATGAACAATTCCTTGACACACTTAAACAAAAACTGAATGCGGCATCTAGCAGATTAAAAAGATACCTTAACTGTACACTTAGGAAGTTACAAAATAGCCAGTTTCTCAACAATGAAAAACAATTTTACAGGAGCCTGACTTCAGACACGCAACATGACACACATAGAAATAGGCAAGATGCACCATTACCACCTGCCAATGAATTACATAGTTTCTGGTCTGGTATATGATCTGTGCCGGTTCACCACAACACAGAGGCGGAATGGCTGAACACAGATTTCAAAGTAACTGATACTATTACACCAATGGCATTTGAACAAATACCTTTGGAAGTATTTGTGCATATATTAAAAAAATCCCATAGCTGGAAAGCACCTGAAAGCGACCGCATACATAACTACTGGTATAAGAAACTTACAGCAATTCACCCTCTACTTTATAACCATATCAATAACTTTATACAAAAACCAGACATAATGCCCCGATACATTACACAAGGCCTCACCTACATGATTCCGAAAGACGTAGATCATCAAAATCCTGATAAATACAGACCTATCACATGTCTCCAAACCATTTATAAACTGCTTACAGCATGTATAGCTGAACTTTTACATCAACATATAGCCAAAAACAACATTCTTGCTGAAGAACAAAAAGGATGTCGAAAAAGTAATCAGGGGTGCAAAGAGCAACTCATAATAGACTCCGTAGCAATGAAACAAGCTATTTCTAATAGGAAAAACATCAGCACAATGTATATAGACTACCGAAAAGCATTTGACTCCGTACCGCACAGCTGGCTCCTATATATACTACAACACTATAAAATTCACCCACAAATTATACATTTTCTTAAAAACTCAATGCAGCACTGGAAAACTACTTTAAAAACCATAGGAACTTCTTGTATAGAAACACCAGAAATTCCAATACGTCGAGGAATATTCCAAGGTGATGCGCTCAGCCCTCTATGGTTCTGTCTCGCATTAAACCCTCTCTCGCAAATGCTGAACAAAACCAATCATGGTTACTCTATCATCACTCCACACAAACACACCACTCTTACACACCTGATGTACATGGATGACATAAAACTATACAGTAACACTACACAGTCACTGCATCGCCTTGCAGACATCACCCAATCTTTCTCAAACGACATTCATATGGAGTTTGGGATCGACAAGTGCAAAATGTTCTCGGTTACAAATGGAAAAATTAACCGTAATAGCTATAGCCTAATATCAGGAGACACGATTGAACCCCTAGAACCCTTGGCCGCATATAAATACTTAGGTTTCCAACAAGCGCGACAGATTCATCAAAAGGAAACGAAAGAAGGTATCAAAAAGAAATTTAAACATCGGCTCAATAGTATATTCCGGTCTCAGCTCAACTCCCGCAACATGTCAAAAGCTATCAACAGTTACGCAATCCCCATACTGACATATTCGTTTGGCGTAATAAACTGGACTCAAGGTGATCTTATCAATCTACAACGTATTATAAATACCACTCTAACGGCTCACCGCAAGCACCACCCTAGATCCTGCGTACAAAGGATGACTCTTTCAAGATCCGATGGAAGACAAGGTATAATAGATGTCCTCAACTTGCATAACAAACAAATCAAATACCTTCGACAATATTTCTATCAACGCTCAGAACACTCGCTTCTCCACGAAATAGTAACCTTAGCCGATAAACGCTTCACACCACTTAACCTTGCAGACCGAAATACACAACGCAAGAACGGATAACTGACGTAAAAGAGAAGATCGCCTCATGGCAACAGAAGTCCCTACACGGAAGGCACTATCACGCCCTGCAGCAGCCACATGTCGACAAAAAAGCGTCGAACGCATGGCTGAGGCGCGATGAACTCTTCCCAGAGATGGAGGCCTTCATGTTAGCGATCCAGGACCAGGTCATCGATACTCGAATCTTCCAGAGACACATAATACGCGCACCTAACCTTCCCACCGATACTTGCAGACATTGCCACTCTAGTCCCGAAAACATACAACACATTACATCCGCCTGTAGAGCTCTTGCACAAACCAACTATAAACACCGGCATGACCAGGTAGCTTCCATAATACACCAACATCTTGCGCTTAAATTCAAATTTATACAAAAAAATACACCATATTACAAATATAAACCGGACATTATATTAGAAAATAATAATTATAGAATTTACTGGGACAGGACCATTATCACGGATAAAACTATCCACTTCAATAGGCTAGATATCACAATGTATGACAAAAATAACAAAACTACTTACCTTATTGACATTGCCATACCAAATACCCATAACATTCAATCCACCATTGTTGAAAAACTTACAAAATATCAAGATTTAACAATAGAACTGAAGCGTCAATGGAAAGCAGAAGCCATCCACATAGTCCCAATAGTTATCTCATCTACCGGAGTCATATCTAAAAGCCTACAACGCAGTTTAGATATTGTGCAAGTACCCCAACACACACTTTACACCCTGCAGAAAGCTGTCATTCTCAACACCCTGCAGAAAGCTGTCATTCTCAACACCTGCCGACTCACACGCAAATTCCTCACCACTTCATCCGTCACCTCCGCTTACACCATCACCTAGCACCTGCTCACGCTTGGCTTCGGCCCGTGTGATTAGTTTTTAAGTTACCTCTATTATAGGGAGAATATAGATGTATAATAATAATAATAATAATAATAAAGGCGTAGGGAATTGACGACCCCATCGACCGCTGACGTAACATTTAAGTAACAAAACTGCCATGTCAGCGCAGTCAGTCAGCGCCTTGCCAAGAGGTGTGAGCGCTGTGCCTCGGCAGAACTGAGGGTGCAAAGGCTCGTTTGTGCTTACGGCTGCACCATGAAACGGTGCCGGGCTTGGGCGTCTCCCGTTAATTGACACCCCTTTAATGGGTGATGGAAAAAAGGAGAGTGCGCAAAGGGCCGCTGCCTGGAGGTCGCCAGGGCGCGTCTGGAGCTGGCGCTGGACGCGACAGCATGCGGGCCGCCAGCCGAGCGCGGGGGGCTGCAAGACCACCTAGAAGCCGCCCGCATCCATCATCCCCACCAGAGGGCTTGATGTCGGCCGAGTCTTCTCGGAATCAGCAAGCGGCATCCGCCGCTGGTGGAACATGTCGCATGCGTTGAATGGAAATAATGAACACAAACGCATTGCGAGCGTACTTTAGGGCGAAAGGGGAAGAAACTGGAATGTTGGCGTATCGGGCTCGGATGCATCGCTTTTTCGCAGAGCTGGAGCCATCGGTTCATGTAACGGAGCAAAAACTGGCAGACCGAGTTCGGTATATCCTGCGCTCCAACATATTTGGTGACGCAGAACTCGAACGACTACGACGTGAGGCTGTTCCCTCATCGGATGAAAATGCAGCAGCTGATAATGCGGCGCTATTAATTGCAGAGCAACCCGCACACGTGGATGCCGCCGTGGATATTCCAGCTGTGGTTCATTCAGACGATGATGAAATAGTCTCCCACAAAGTAGAGTAAATGAGGAGTATATTGGAAGCAGCTATTTTGGAAACGCGCAGTAAGCCTCACGAAAATCGACCGCGACTTCCCCGCATACCTCTAAGCAAGCGGAATCGGGCTGTCGTGAGGGCTCTCAACCCAATGCTGGTGACCTATTTGGAAGCCAGCCGGGACCTTTGCGATACGGACTCAATTCTTTTTGGCGCCGCACTGGCAGTTTGCCGTATTATTGGCGCCAAACTTCCCACGGCTGGACGCGCTACTAGACAAAGTAGCGCCATCCTAGCCTAGAGAAAAAGAATTGAGGACCATATGTCAAAGGCAAGAGCCCTAATCGGCAGACTGACAAGCTTCAGGTCGGGTAATAATAGACCGAGAATTGTGCGCACCGTCAGGATGGTGTTTGCTGGGACAAATATAAGTTTGTCCCAGCCGGATATTACGCAAAAGCTGACGGAGCACATAGACGACCTAAGCAGAGAATCGCTGCTTGGGGAAAGCGGATTCGGCGATATACCGAGAGGTCGACACGGTTCAACCAGAATCGTCTCTTCCAGAGTGATCAGAAGAGGCTCTATAAATCATTGGAGCGACCAATGGTACGTGGAACGGGCCAAGCACCGAATCAGGCCGACTCTGTCGCATTCTGGCGCGGCCTGTGATCAGAGCCCGTAAACCACAGCGAGGGCCCTTGGACGGAAGTTGTGGTGAGTCAGTGTGCGAATCTTACGCCTATGGACCCCGTCATTATAACACCAGACGATGTAGCTGAGGCGATCCGAAGGGCCCCGAACTGGAAAAGTCCGGGGCCCGACGGGCTGCATCACTACTGGCTGAAGGGGTTCGTGGTGTATCACGCTGTGCCCGCCCGACAATTTCAAGACCAAAAGTCGCTCCCGAGCCTCTTCACTACTGGGATCACTCATTTGGTTCCTAAAGACCGGGATACCATAGACCCGAGCAAATACCGCCCCATCACGTGTCTACCCACGATATATAAGACACTAACATCCATTTTGAGCGCGAGAATCACTCGTCACCTGAACTCAAATCAGGTGATGTCGCGCGCTCAAAATGGATGTCGGGGCGGTGGTCGTGGAATCAAGGAACCACTCCTCATTGACGCGGTCATTGGCAAAGTGGTTAAACGCAACCGTCGGAACCTATCCGCCGCCTGGATAGACTACAAAAAGGCATTCGACTCGGTGCCTCATACATGGCTGAAGAGGGTCCTCGAGCTGTACAAGGTTGACTGTATAGTTAGAGACTTCCTCGGGCAGTGTATGGGGCAGTGGAGTACGATCTTTTGTCATCTAGGCGAGTGGATGACGGCTGCGGGGAACCACATAAGAATAAGAAGGGGTATCTTCCAGGGCGATTGTCTGAGTCCAATCTGGTTCTGCCTGTCTCTGAACCCTCTCAGTACCTTACTGGAGGGTTTCGGGAGGGGATTTCAGCTTCGGAAAGGAGGTACAAAAGTGACCCACCTTTTCTATATAGATGATCTCAAATTATTCGCCTCCAGTCGCTCCCATCTTATGGAATTGCTGAACATCACTTACGGACGGATAAGTGTGCGGTCCTCCATGTCGAAAGGGGTAGGGTTGCTAACTCTGAGGGCATAGACTTATCTATGCCCATCAACATAAAGACCCTATCCGAGGCTGAAACATACCGATACCTGGGTATGTCACAGAACATAGGTATCGATGAGGCGGACATGAAACAGTCAGTTAGCGATGTGTTTTATGCACGCTTGACAGAAGTGCTCAACAGTCTTTTGTCGGGTGTGAATAAGACACTCGCATATAACGACTGGGTCATGCCTGTCCTCATATATACCTTCGGCATACTCAGGTGGTCTTAGACCAAACTGAACGCTCTGGATAGAAAAGTCCGCACTGTTATGATGTCTCACAGGATGCATCACCCGAGATCGTCAGTAATGAGGCTGTACTTCCCGCGGAAACATGGTGGGCGCAGCTTTTTAGCGCTCTCACCATGCATAATCGTGAAGTGTGCAGCCTCCGTAACTACTTTCTGGTGAGATCTGGTGATCTATTTCCCCTAACCCTCGGCCGTCTGGTCTCCCCTGCCGAGGGCTTCCATCTGGTTGGGTTTTTATATATTTATGTAATTTTTATGTATTTATTTTATTTTATTGATATTTATGTATGTTTACCATTTTCATTTACAATTATATATTTATACTGCCCAACCAGATGAGAAAACTTTATAGATACCCCAAAATAATAATAATAATAGGTCAGGGATAAAGTTTCTTCGTATTTTATATACAAATTCAAGACATTTTGTTTCAAAGTTTAATTACATTTAGTTATAATAATATATATGTGCTATTTTGTACGATAACTTGTTGCTATCTTGTAGGTAGTGACATAATCCCGTTGCTATAGAAATCTTGGGATCTTAGATCAAAACAATGCGACAAGTAGTTTTGACAGTCCTCTCTTGATGTTAACCTAACACTAACCAAAGAATTCTGAAGAGACCGAAACAGGTGAAAATCTGAGAGTGCAAGGTCAGAACTATATGGTTGATTCATTAACACTTCCAAACCAAGCTATCTAAATTTTTGCTGAATGGCGAAAGATGAGTGTGGTCTAGCATTATCATGATGAGGGACCACTCCTTTTCTGTTGATCAATGCCGGCCGGTGTTTCCCAATTCCTTGCTTGAGTCTCTTAGTTGTTGGCAGTAGAGATTCGAATCGATGGTTTTGCCCAGCGCTAAAAGCTCATAATAAACGACGCCCTTCCAATCCTACCATACACATAGCATCACCTTATTGCGTATTTATCCGAGTTTCGCTACAGCCTGTAGAGCTTGACCACCCTTTGACCATGATCTTTTTCTCACGTTCTTGTCGTAGGTGATCCACTTTTCATCACCAGTGATCAATATTTTTAAAAACGGTTCTGTTTCATTACGTTTCAATAGAGAATAGCAAATAAGTACACGATTCATAAGGTTTTTTTCAGTGGTGGTTTTATTTCATGACTTTTCATTTCATTTATGACGTTATTCATGACTTAAAAAGTTTATATGATTTTTTCGGTGTGATGGGATGGGAGTCATAATAAATTTACAATAAAATATAAAAACAAAAAAAAGAAGGGAATCATAATAGATTTATATAATAAAAAAGAATGCATATTCCCTATTATTATATCGTAAAGCATTACAAACTTAGTAACCTTCAACAACTTCAACAACATTATCGATACTTTGATGTCGAAACGGTAACATTTCTATAACGGGTTTTTACCTTACATTTATTAGCGCCACCTACTGGAGAATAGCTGAAATGTTTCCATAGTAAATTTCCAGCATATTTTTGCTATGTTTACCTAGAGGGCGTCACACGCGCGCAAGTTCAAAGTTTTTGTATGCAAATGTTCCCTATGCCCGCTCTATAGTATACCTATATATTTAAATCTCTTTGGTCAAAACTGTTTTGTGGTCAATCCTCAATTCCTCGGCTATGTCTTAGCTACTAATATGCCAATCTTGCTCTACTTTTTCAAAAATGGTATTGACTTTATCTGCATGAAGGCGACTAGAGCGAGCTGCATCTTTGATACCAAAATTTCCGAATTCAAAATGTTTGAACCAACTTTATGATACTCTTACTGACACTGCATTAGGTCCATAAACGTCACAAATTTTTTTCACGGCTTGAGTCAAAAGACAAATTCAGAATGTATCAAGTTTCTTCGTTAGATTCACTTCTTTTGGTGGACAGAAAAACAATTGAAAAATAACGGGAGAGTGTTTTTTTAATTTTTTTTAATGTCCTATATGTATTAATATTAAAACTAGCCAGATACAAATAGTACAACCATGAAGATTTTTCTTCAATTTTATGCAAAGAAAATACGAAGAAACTTTTTCTCCAACCTATCATATAAAACCAAAGGACTTTTTAAATTTAATTTACCACGTACTCGGTAGTAAAGCAAAACATTGTGACCGAACCTAAATTTTAAAAATGGAAAGTAGTAGAACTTTAATCTTAGATTTGATTGACATCCTAGCTCTACATAATAACGTTAAGTGGATTGTGAAGCTGTAAATTTTCGTACAAAAAGCGATAACGTTTTCCCCCTGTAAACATAGTCTAATTTTCATAATTTTTGAAAATGTTGTAGATATATTGAAAAACTAGGTCCATACGCTTTTATTTTAAAGAAATAATGCGTACGATATAATTTATTAGCATCTAAATATATATTTTTTTGACTTAAAAACTTCTTCTAGTGTTTTTATTATTTTTAATTAAGTAAACTGAATTACTAAAAAAACGTATAGACCTAGATTAAGGTGTAATGAATCTAATAAGCCAAAATTGTCTCATTTTGTAAAGGTTAACGCGGAAACGTTATTGCCCGAAACAATATTTAAAAAAACAAAATGTAGACAGTTGCCTCCAAGACGCAACTCTATCTATCGCACTATACGGTGATACGGAGTGAGTGGTATGAAACATAACATTTTTGAAAATACCTACTCGTTTTTATTTATCGGATAATATGATATTATAAGAAATAAATAATAAAGTTTACATTTATTTGTTTTTATTAAATATATTTTTAGCTATTTCACCTACGAATAATATAAAGATCGGCAGCAAATATGTACACATAATATTTACACGAAAGAAAAACACAACCAGCCTTCTTAAATTACTTTTGCACAATACCATCTCTCGGTGACAACTAGTTAACTATTGTACTTTTTTAAACTGAGATGATATTACGTTAATTTTTGTGAGAAAACATATTCTTTTATGTTTCCTGTGTTTTAGGTATAAGCTTATAAATAAATGACAGTATTTTACAATATTTAATTACGATTTCTGAAATTAGATGGAAATGCGAGTTTTTTTGCCCTTAACTTGTCAAAGAATTATGAAGCATTGTCCGTTGCTATATGCCATATTAAATTTAACACTGGTACATTTGTAATTGTGTGGTCATATTTAAAATATACAATTTTTAGTTGACAATATTTGTAGTTAAGACCACTAGAAAACTTATTTATGAAGTAACACGGCGTTGGTGGCTGCCAACCCGCCCCGTCTATAGCAAGTGTATTTATAATAACTATGACACTTTCGCCGCGCCACGAAAGCAAAAGGAGAGACCCCCAACCGAGCAGGATCACTGCCCAGGAGCGGTCGTTTTCCATCTATGTGTATGTAAATCGAAAGAACTCTTCCATACATACGTAGCGCAGCACCTTTGAACTTTGTTAGCCTGATTTAGATTTCGGTTGTGGCGCGATGACAGCGTCACCGCAACACACTCTATGGGGAAGCCAAAAGACTTTGATAGTCTGTAATGTAGGAATGAACTATACAACATCCAACATCATAATAATACGTAAAGAGAAACTTTAATGCCACGAAGAAATTATATTGTAATGAATACTAACCACAGAGTAAATACAAATAGGTGTTGTAATTAGATTTCACTATGTAACAACGCATGACAATTTGCGGGGTGAGGGGATGTTAAGCCCCGCCCACTTTATTATTTTCCATCTACCGATAAATACTAAAACTACTCGAATCGTTCCATATCGATGTTGCAATGTAGTTTAGCTACCTTGAAGATAGATGGGGGCCCGTTCACAAAATGATTATAAAAACTATAAAAATAATATCTTGGCGATTAAAAATTCTTTAGGACTGAATGCAAAACAAATTTCAACACCTTCGTATGATTATTTTTCCAATACTGAGCTCGAAATAACTTTATATTTTTAGTTCCATGACACAAAGTGTCGCCATCTAGTGTCAAATATATTTAATTACATTTGAAAGCCGACGCAGAGATTTTTCTAGAAACTTTTTAATAAATTAGGTATAAAATTAATTAGAAATGAAATGTGATGCCGTCCATAGCATCAGAGCGTCTATCTGAGTAGTTTTTACACGATGGAACACAACACTTTGATTAGCGATTTCGAAGGAGATTTGCGATTTTCGACACATAGCATATACACATGCATAGGACGAACGCTGACAGTATACTAAGTAGAGCCACGCCCACTGTGATGACGTCAGGACCTAGTTAGAATCACAGTGCACAGTTGCTAATGCCACCTCCTCTTTGTATTTGCTTCGTGATACTTTTTTTTATAGGAGAGGGGGCAAATGAGCATGCGGCTCACCTAATGGTAAATGATTACCGCCGCCCATGAACAACCGCAACACCAGGGAAATTGTAGATGCGTTGCCGGCCTTTTAAAAAGGAATACGCTCTTTTCTTGAAGGTCCTTAAGTCGTATCGGTCCGGAAAAATCGCTGATGGTAATCGATTCCACAAGGAAGTCGTGCGATCAGCAGAGCGGGACAGTATTTCAATACTGTCCCGCTCTGCTGAGCACGCCAAACTTTTTAGTGGCCAATTTGGCCTTCTCTTCCAAGTGACCAAGAAACTGCACGTCACTCGATATGTCGACTCCGAGGATTCCGATACTGGCTGAGGCAAGAAGGGGAGTGCCGTGAAACTGAGGAGATACGACAAATGGGTTCCTTTTAACGGTAAGCGCGCAAACTTGTGTCTTCTGAGGATTAAACTGGACTAAATTTAGTCGC